TTCCAAATTTTAACCATATGGTAACTTTGGAAAATAGAACGGTATGATGATGTCTAACCTGGAAGACAGAAAGGAAGATCAAAGTACCTGTATGTTTCACTGCAGTGTTCAAAAAGAAAACAAATGCAATTAGTCAAACATCACAATATACTCCCCGTCTCTAAATAAACTCCACTTTTTCCTTTTTGCAGTACCAAACAAACTTGGCCTTTCATTTTAAGAAAAGAAATGTGGGGTTACCTTGTTCCCCTTTTTAAGAAATCTCTACCACACAAACTACACTATCCTAAACTCCATGCAAAAGCAAATGAAGTTTAACAAGGGGCGGAAGGAGTAAATTCAAGCAAAGAAAAGCAGCAGTAATGTTTTAGATAGGTTTCCTTTCATGTAGAAACCTTCTTACGGAGGGTAACGGGATGTAGTTCAAAAACCTTCATCATGAGAGGCCCATAGAGTTTTTCAGTTGCATGTAGATAGTGATAAATTAAAGTAGTTGTTATAGTGATATGAATCTCATTGCAAGATTACAACAACGAACCCAGTGAAATCCCATGGCGATGCGTTTGAGGAGGGTGGGCAGAAGCACACCCTACCCCTACTTGGAGATGAGGAGAGTGGGCAGAAGCACACCTAAAGGCCATTTAACTCTTTTTAGAACATTGAATAGACTTCACTTTACCCATTAGATCATGTTCATTTGTTATTAATCATTTGGATATACAAGTAATATTCTAATGGAAATATTTGCTTCTCCAGAAGCTTCATCATTTTATTTTGATCTGTGCAACAAAAATAATAACATAAGTAGAGGACAACGAAACAAGATACCAAAACCAAAGTATATGTTATCTATGCATTTTTTTATTATCATTAACACTCCTTACTATTGCTAGTATTATTACTATACAATTCAAGTGATTGTACATCCTGGACCTTTCACACAATTTCTTAATTGAACCCTCAATGCCCGACCTGAATCTCAATAAAAATGATGAAAGGTGTGAACTAGTGAAGGAGAAGCTATCTCTCTAGTACCCATTGAGAAGCTACAAACTAAAAAAAGGATCCTGATTAAGAAATATACAACCTTTTATTTTTAGTGAATTGAATCAAGGTACAAGATACTACATCACTTAGACCTATACATTTTCCAGGTGATCATGTTCTAGAAGCAATGTCATTCCAAAATGTTTACTGATCTTTGGATTCATTCTTAATCTCATAATGGTTTTATGACTTTGAAAGCACTTCAAACATGTTTATTGCTTTATTACTTTTTCTTAAAAGCAAATCATGGCTAAGTAGTTCATTTTTTTACAAGGACTTTGCATGAATTTTACTCAACAATCAAAGTGACTTTTAGAAACAAGCTGTCTTTTGGGACAAGTAATTACTAAGCATGCTATCCGCCGCATTCATCATTTTAAAAACAGCACCTTCACTACGCACGAAGCATATTGTAGGTACCAATGCCATCATCTATATTCTTTTAAGAAAGATAATAATATGCCAGTGATGAATCAAATTTGGAAATTAATCCAACAAGACAAAAAAAAGAACTTAGAGATTTAGACGGGCTGAACTAGTGCGATCAGTATGTTAGAAAATTCAATCCTTGGTGCATGGATAGCTAGATGATTATCATTCTGTGGTGCACCTATGGTTAAAATATTCAGAACACTTTTCTTCTAAAGAGTTAAAATTAACTACAAAATTCTAAGCCTATTCCTAGAAGTGCAGTCAAAACCCTTCGTTTCCTCTCTTATTATCTCAAGACCTCTCAAATCCTCTATCTCTGAACACTATATCTTATCCTCACTCACACATTAAGGATCCAACAGTATCTTAGTCTTATCAGTTACAAATAGAGAAAACAGAAACACTCCAAAGATCAAACGGTAGCCTGTTCCTGTCTGAGAGGCAGCTTCTTCTTCACACTCAACCAGATGCAGAAGTGACCCATGACAAAGATTTAGATCATAACTGGACACTAGCATATTGCACCTTTAGTTGTCTCAAAAAACTAGACTGTTTCAAAATGGATATATATACCTCTACAGAAAACTATAGAATCACACACAATCTCAAAAGTGACATAGACTCAGTACTAATCACTCAGCAACACAATTTTTTTCCCCCAATTTAGCATACACACACAATCATATAATCACAGCAGCATCATTAGCTGATGATGAAGATTTTCAGCATTCAGATGTGCAGTAAGAATACACTTTGCAGGTAGCAGCTAAATAGGAGACAAGTACACCCAACCGGATGCCAAACAAAGTTGCTAATGTGTTCGAGAAGCAAAATGGACCGTTAAAAAAGAATAGAAGGAGTAGATGGCAAGAAAACCAAGATCCCAACTGAATGATAACAAATTTTCATATTAATTAACACAGAAAGTTTAATTAAACCAAAATACATACGGAGTATAACCCAAGCCAAGAAATTGTATGAAATCACAACGGTGACAATGACAAAACCTCAACAATATGTAATTCTTCATTGATTTCAACGGCCACCAACAATCAAGGATCATTGTGAACGCGATTTGAATCTTAATTCAGCTGAACACTAATACACCGCGTGCTGTAAAGACAAAAACATCTAGAAACGAAGATTTGATTACCTTGGGTTGTGGAAAGGCCCGACCTTGTTGGCGTAGAGAGGAACCGCATCACCGGGCTTGTACCTATGATCCGATGCATCGGATCTCGCCGGGGTCGCACAGCACAGCGCGAGCATAACAACGACGCACCACCACCACGCCGCCGGCTCCATTTTTCTCATTTCCTTGGTCTGTGAGCGTGTGTAGAGAGGGTAGAGTGAGAGAGCAGATCTCGATCTCCCTCGGCAATGGCGCTATCGGCGAGCAACTTAGACAGCCTAAAATGATAATGTGGTTTTGTAGACGACGACGTAGAGCAACATTTCACTACTCGACTTCCATGCTTCGTCCCTCACGCGCCTTAAAATGGAATAAGCTATTTTAATGTAAAATTGGTATTGAAAAATAATACTCCCTCTGTTTCTCAAAAGAGTTCCTCTTTTGACTTTGGGGGAAAATAATGAAGTGTTAAATTGTAGTTGACTTTCTAATTTTGCCCTTGATGTAATGGGTAAAAGTAAGATGTGATAGTTTAGTTGTTAGTGAAAAAGTATGATGTGATAGGTAGGGTATGAAAAAGTAGGGGTAAAAGTGGTTTTTTAATAGAAAAGGGAAGTGTTTTAAGAAAAACAAAAAAAATGAAAGAGGAAGGGTTTTAAGAAACGGAGGGAGTAAGTGATTAATCAAATCAAAATCTTGTTTGAAAAAAAAATGATAGTATGAGTTACCTATTTTATATAACTCCGTCCGGTCTTAAAAAAAATTCTTGTTTTAATTTTTTTAGTCTGATACTCTTTAACCACAAATTAAATATAATCTAAATAAATAAATAATATACTCCGTAAAAATTCGATATATCAAAACTACATCCTAAGATAAATCTAATTATATTGAATTTGTATTATAATTAAGTATACTTTTTCTTATAATTTGTTGTCAAAGTATGTCAATGTCTGACTAAAAAAAGTCAAATACGAAAGGTTTTTAGAACCGGAAGGATATTAGAAAAAGAAAAGACATTCTTTTCATTCCTAAATAAACTTTGGAATCGTTTTTCCCAAGCAAAAATTTGCTTGGTTTAACTTTTAATATTTACAAATATTTTTCTTTGATGCCTTTGTAATTGAGAGGACATTTATGCCCTTCCTTTCAATTTCTACACACCTTGACGTTGGAAAGGGTTGAGATTGAGCGGGATAGAAAACCTAGAAAGGAGAACAAAAATTTGAGAAAAACAAATTTGGAGTAAAAGAAAAGGTACGGTAAAGTAATGTAAGATAATGAACTGATGATACATTGTTAAATGTGATATGATAAAGAAGCTAATGAAAGATGAAATTTTATTTTTTATATAAAATTAACTTATGTGTGTGTGTATGTATGTATCTGTGTGTGTGTGTGTGTGTGTATATATATATATATATATATATATCCAAAATTGATATATATCTGAACTGAAAGATATATGAAATCGAGATCCATCCGGACGGCTTTATATCCGTACATAATCTTAACTGATCTGAAATCGAAGACAACGCCCAAATTGTATGAAACTGAATTAAACACAGACCGAAATTAAACCGCGACAATTGTAGCACACATCCGATAGATATCCAAACCAAATAGAGTAGTAAGTTATTTGATTGTTCCACCAACTATGAATCAAGTAAATATATTCATATAAAGGCAAATTCTTTGGTGGACTTAAGGTCCACCATGGACCTATATATGTGTAAAATAAGTATTTCCTTACTGCTTAAATAAACATCTATTTTTTCTTAATAAAATAATACTACCTCCGTCCCAGAGTATTTGTCCACTTTCATTTTTACACATCATCCAATACACTTCTTTAATCCATTTTATCTTGTAATTTATATATTAAAAAATTATAGAAATTATATATTAATAATATATATATTAAGAAAAATCAAACAAGATCACACATGACTATATTTAGGCTTACACATTGAGAGAATTTGATGAGTCAAAGTGCTTAGATGAACAGTTCCAAAAGTCAAAATTTTACGAATACTCTGAGACGGAGGGAGTAAAAAATAAAATTTTTATATGAAGGTCCACAAAAATTATAAGTAGATGTATCAAAGAAGCACTATCATATGAATATTGTAGGATATTTTACCTTTTTGACCGTTACACACGCACCAACCATGTTTAATTACCTAAACATCCAAGTGTATTACTATAACTTTCTTCTCAAATGATCCATAAAATCCACAAACCAAAAATCATTAAAGAAGCTACCAAACCCAAATCCTTAAGAATATGTTTATATACAATGAACTCTTGTTTCTCCATTTTATCTCTCTCTCTCCTATTATAATAAGCTTTTATAATATCAATTCCTGATAATCCCAATCTCTTTTATGTGCAAAGTGTCTTAAACTTCTAGATGGATTCTTGGTACAGAGAAAGTGGTTCTGAAAATGAGCAAGAAACATCTAGCTCCAAAAAAGGAAAAAAGCAATATCATCGTCATTCATCTCAACAAATTCAACAACTTGAATCGTACGTAAGATTTAAATTACTTATTGTCATCATTGTTTATATGTCTCATGTCATTTGTGATTGAATGAATAATTATTCTGCATATATGCAGCACCTTGAACTTTTAATTGTAAAATCAGAAGTGCATTATTGCAGATTTAGAATTATTCTTTATCTTGTCTTGTGATGAATATTTTATGTATATATATAAATGAAGGTATTTTAGAGAATGCCAACACCCAGATGACAACCAGCGACGACAACTGAGTATGGAATTAGGATTGGAACCTAAGCAGATCAAATTTTGGTTCCAAAATAAAAGGACGCAAACAAAGGTGTGTGTCTATTCAATTCTAATTAAACTTTTACTAAATATTTCATTTGTAATTTTTTTTGGTTGAATTGGTTACAAAATACTCCGTACTATATATATAGATCACATGTTTCAAGATGTTACGAGTTTGAGTCTAATCAAAGCTTACATTCAATTTAAAAAATCCAATATTCATGCGTAAGACTTGTAAAAAACCAAATTTTGCAAACATTCAATCATAAATTTGAAATTTTAATTCAACTGATTTTTTTAATAGAAATAACTAAAAAGTTAATATAACTCCCTCCGTCCCTAAAAACTTTTCTCCTTTCTTTTTTCATCCGTCCCAAAAAATACTTCATATTTCTATTAAAAAGTCACTTTTACCCCTTACTTTTTCATACCCTACCTATCACATCATATCTTTTTACTAATAATCTACCCATCAAATCCTACTTTTACCCATCAGGACTTTTTTGGAAATTCAATACCAAAATACATTTCCCTTAAATTTCTTAAAAATTGATAACTCCCATGTTTTTAGGACCGGAAGGAGTAGATTATAGTACTACTATATTTTTTGAAAAAAATTCACACCAATACCCTCAGAATTGCACGAATTTACATAATTATTCCGAGTTTTGTTAAATGACACCAATCCTCCCAAAATTTTATTATATTCATATCGTTGCTTCGAGAATTGATTTTTGTTTACTACTATGCTCCAAATGTAAACATATATGACTTCTTGGAGCACCAATGTGAATATAGAAAAATTTTAGGAGTAATGATGTCATTTATTGAATCTCAGAGTATTTATGTAAACTCGTACAATTCTGAATGTATTGATGTGAATTTTTCTTATTTTTTATTAAGGCTCAAAGTGAGAAGGCGAATAACAATGGGCTTCGGACGGAAAATGAGAGAATCCATTGTGAAAATCTAGCGATGAGGGAGGCACTGAAGAGCATAGTCTGCCCAAAGTGTGACGGGGAAGAGGAGAGGAAACATGGCCTTCAATTATTGATGATGGAAAATGTGCAACTCAAGGAAGAGGTACGATACATACCTTTCCTCAAACAATTAAGGGGGTGGTTCCCACTTCTCATGACATTGCCCGACAATGTCATGGGATGATCAGGGACCAATCCGATGTCCCTTTTGTAAAATTAACGATTTCTATTCTCTCTAACCTCTCGGTAAATCTTCCCGCCCTGACCTGACCCAAAAACACCCTCACATCCCTTCAATTGTACCCACAAGTTAATTTTGACTTTGGAGTCAAATTTTGATTCTAAAGTCAAAATCAACTTGTGGCGTATAATTGAAGGGGGTGGGAGGGTGTGTTCGGGTCGGGGCACGGTGAGAGGGTTTATCGGGGGGTTAGGGGGGTAGGAACCGTCAATTTTACGAACGGGACACCGGAGTGCCCCCAGCTCATCCCATGACATGGGGTTCCAATGTAATTGGTATAATTTTGGTATAATTTTTAATTTAGTCCTTAGTTTATAATATGGTAAGATATGATGTTTGTATGTAGTGTATAAAGTGGGATTTCTGCTAAGAAATACCGCACATCGGAAATCGAAAAGAAAAAAACGGGTATATAAGCTCATGAGTTAATTACAAACGTAATTGATTAAATTCCATCTTTAAATGTGGTTCAGCGCAAGTACCTTACGATTCAGTCCAGTGTTAGTCTCTAGCTAGAATATGCGTATGGAACACAGGCATGTGCAAACCTGATTGTTAAGAAGTACTCTATACAAAGTAGAGGAATTTACTTAAATAGCACTAAAACATAATGACTTTCCCTAAATAGCACTACATGTGTTTTTCTTCCCAATGTAGCACTTGTAGTCATTATGCATTAGTTATTATTCAAGTAAATATTTGTCATCACTGAACATTATGGACATTATTAAGTGTTATTTAGAGAATAAAACAGTTTAAGTACTATTTAGAAAAATGACTTAACTTTTAGTGCTATTTAGTGCAATTATTTCTACAGAGTATCCAACTAGATTATCTATTACTCGGTATATTTAATCTTTTAATATGATTTGTTTTTTTATAGCACGAACGGTTATCAACAATTCTTTCCAGTGTCATGGGAAGATCAGCGGTAGAATCAGCTTCCAGTGGATCTTTGCACGAGGAGAGCAACTATCTAGCAACTACCGGTGGCAGCGGCGGCTCATCGGCACCCATAGGAGAAAAGCGGCAGCATGAAACCGTCCACGGCCGGCATACATATCCGATGAAAAGTCCGACGTCGTTGCCCTTCACCCGTACGCCAGGCAGAGGAGTGCAAGAGATGGAGAAAGGAATCATGATAGAGACGGTGGCAGCCGCCATGGAGGAGGTGGTGGAGCTGCTGCAGGCGGATGAGCCGCTGTGGACGCGAAGCCCCGACGATGAAGGGAGATTGGTCCTCCACCGAGAAAGCTACGACAAGCTCTTTGCCAAGGGGAATTGCTTGAGAAACCGCACAGCTAGGACGGAATCTTCCAAGGATTCCGGCATTGTCGCCGCCACTCCGGTTGAGTTGATCCAGATGTGCCTTGATCCGGTACGTACCTTTAAAAATCTCCAATGAGATATACTCCCTCTATTTAATTTCATTAAGAGCTCGTTTCACTTAATGAAACGAGTACTAAAACATAGTGACTTTTTCAATGTGGTAACATATGTTTTGAAAGACTAAAGTAGGACTAAAACATTGAAGATATACCAAAATAGGACTTCCATGTTTTTATTCCCGAAATAGGACTTACATTACCATACATGGTCATATACATTACCAAAAACGTATAGTAATTTGCACATGTAAACTGCCACATTACCATAGGGCAAAGTCACATTACCACAGTGCAAAGTCCTATTTCGGGAAAAAAAAACATGAAAGTCCTATTTTGGTACTTTTATTTATGTTTTAGTCCTATTTAGGGTGATTTCTATTTTATTTTCCAATGTAATACCAGTATTCAATGTCCAGTGGTCATTATTCAAACTAAATGTCCAACATCACTGGACATTGTTCCTCCCACTAGACATTATTCAAGTACTATTTAGATAATAAAGAAGTTTAAGTACTATATTGGAAAATTACATATATTTATATATTTTAGTACTATATAGTGCAAATTTCACTTATTCCTATATATTTGTGTAAAAAAAGGATGTGATTTTGCAGATGAAATGGATGGATTTCTTCCCAACAATAGTGCACAAAGCAAGGATAATTGAAGTTGTTGATAGTGGGATACTTGGAGGCTCCTTACAGTTGGTAATTAACATTATTTAAAAAGCCATATCATTAGGACAATATATTCTGAAAATAAAATACTACTCCATCCGTCTCTAAAAATATGAGAGGTTTTAATTTTTAAGAGATTTAAAGGAGTATATTTGGTGTTGAGTTTCTAAAAATATCCTTTGATGTGATGGGTAAAAGTAAGATTTGATGAGTAGATTAATAGTGAATATGTGTGATAAGATAGGTATGTTAAAAATTAGTAGGGGTAAAAGTGACTTTTTAATAAGAATGAGAAAAGTTTTTTGAGACGGATGAAAAAGGAAAGAAGAAAGATTTTTAGGAAGGGAGAGAGTATGTCAATAATGTTTAATTAGAAAATATTAGGTACGGAGTATTACGGAGTATATATTAAGCCTGACAAACAAACAAAACGTAACAGATGTACGAGAAAATGCACATTCTTTCACCCATGGTGGCGCCTCGGGACTTCGTTTTCTTACGTTACTGTCAACAACTTGAACCCAACACATGGGTAATGGTTGATGTTTCATATGACGACTACTCCTTCAAAGACCTTATAATTGACACTACTACTACTTCTGCTTCTTCCTCTCATGACTCATGGAGGCTTCCTTCTGGATGTTTGATTCGAGATTTGCATAATGGAAAATCTATGGTATGTATGTGTGTGTATATATATGTATGCATGTGTATATATAATGTATACACACACAATGTTGTACGTGACAGGTTACGTGGGTCGAACATGTTCAAGTGGACGATAAGTTACAAACCCATTGCCTGTATAAAGATTTAATCCGCGATGGTTTAGCGTATGGAGCAAAGCGTTGGATTGCTATGCTTCAAAGGATGTCGGAACGATATGGATTCTTCTTAGGGTTAAGAAGTGTGCCTCCTAGACATGAGCTTGAAGAAGGTAAGAATGTTTCCACTTTCATCATCTACTAATATAAAATTTAGGATGGAGTAGAGTTCACTATATAGATCAACTATAATATACTCCCTCCGTTATCAAAAAACACTTCATCTTTCATTTTTTTCACTTCCAACAAAATACTTTTACTTTATATCACATCTTACTTTTACCCATCACATTAAGGACGAAATTAGAAGTCAATTACAATTTAAAACTTTCTTATTTTTACACTTGGTCAAACTAAAAAGGGTCTTTTTTATTGTATTAATTGTGGTGTGTATATAATTGGGGAAATGCAGTGATAAATGCGCCACTAGGGAGGAGGAACATGATGCAGTTATCCCATAGGATGGTGAGGACATTCTACGAAACCCTAAGCATGCCGGAAAGAAAAGATTCGGCTCATGAGAATGGCGAGGTGAGGGTATCTCTGCGCAGAAGCAACCAACCCGGACAACCCGACGACAACAGCTTGGTCGTTTGTGCCGCCGCCTCTCTCCGGCTTCCTCTTCCACCGGAACATCTCTTTGATTTCTTCAAAGACGACAGATTTAGATCCCAATGGGACGTTCTGTCCCATGGCTACCCCGTCACCGAGATCGCCCGCATCTCTACGGGCACTCATCCCGGCAACTGTGTCTCCATCATCCAGGTACAATAATTATAGTCTGTCAAGGAACCAATTCAACTAAAAGCTCAAGCTTGTGGTTGTGGCCCAGGAAATGTTTCTTATATTCTAACACGCCCCCTCACGTGCAAGCACAGTCTTTTTTTCAAGCTTCGCACGTGAAACCTTAATTTTTTTAAAACTGGGTGGCGCTGAGTTTCGACCCCATGACCTTTTAGTCAACAAGGCTCTGTACCATGTCAACAAAGCTCCGATACCATGTCAAGGAACCAATTCAACTAAAAGCTCAAGCTTGTGGTTGTGGCCCAGGAAATGTTTCTTATATTCTAACATAGTCCTCCCTCTGTCCTTAAAAGATTTTTCCCCTTTCAATTTCTAGCAAAAAGTCATTTTTATCCCTACTAATTTTTACATGGTGTGTCTGTAAGCCTTTTGTGCACAAAGAAAGCAACATGCTAATGGTGCAAGAGAGCAGCATTAGCTCTATGGAATCGCACGTCGTGTATGGCCTCGTAGACCTCCCGGCCATCACGTCAGCCATAAACGGGGAGGATCCCGTGAAGATCCCGATATACCCGTCCGGGTTCGTGATGAGCAGAGACGGGCAATGTGGGTCCCTCTTGACCGCGGCCTTCCAAATATTGATGAGAAATAATAATAATAATAATAGCTCTTTGTCGAAGCATGTGAAGAAGGAGTGCATTGCAACTGTGGACGCTCTTATAAGCTCTACCATTCAGAAAATCAAAGCCATTTTGGATTGCTCTGAGTTGGGCTAATAAGTGATGAATTCTCTGTCTTTGCCTGGCTTATGTTTATGATCACCTCTTTATCTTTGTGTTGTTTCCAAATTGAGATGGATTTTACAAACTTTCTTTTGATGTGCTTTAGTTTGCATGGAGTTGGGTTTTTTTGTGTAAATGGGTGACTTTTCATTGACATTTGGGATTGAGGTCATTAGTTAGTTAGTTAAGGTTTTGATTATCCATTAATATTTGAGATTGATTTAAGTTTTTTAGTACTCCGTAATTAAATAACCATAATTGCTGGGACGATATTCTTTAATAAGAGTGATAAATGTTTAAAAATTTCAATAAGAATGCATGCACACTCTCATACCACTGTTAGTATTTCAAGTGTTTGCGTTATTCACTATTACTCCCTCTGTCCTGATTCTTTCTTCCCAGTTTGACTTTTACCCATTTCTAATTTTTGGCTTTGACTTCAAATTTTACCCTCCTTAAAAAAGATTTTTTGAAATTTTTTTTTTACAATCATTCAAAATACAGAGTTAGAAGATAATTGGTGTAAATACATGAGGGTATTAATGTCATTTGTCATTTTTTTTTCTAATGGGAAAGGTAGTTTTAGGACGGAGAAAAAGGGGAAGTGGGAAAAAAGTTTTAGGACGGAGGGAGTAGTATTTTAATTTTGAAAATTTCATCAATATATATATAGTCTTTCAAATCATATTAGTGCTGCAGAGTTAGTGCTTCCATTAATTTTATCATTACTCCATACACTTTTTTCCTATTTCTATTATAAATGCTTATTGGGAACCCTGTTTTTATGTTTATGTTAAGATCTTACGACATACAGTACTCATCACTATGTGATGGATTGATGGTGTATGTTATGAAAGAATATAATCAATAAAGTTGTGGTTTGTGTATGCAAAAAACATGAGGAAACTGGAAACTTGATTTTCCACAAATTACGTCATATTTCATGTAGCTCCATTTTATTTGAAATTATATGTCAACAATTAATCTTGCTTAATTGTAAAAATAAAAACTTAATAAACACTTTACAACGAAATGAGTAATTAAAAATATTGATGTAATAAATACAAGAAATAACTTATTACAGAGTACTCCGTATTATTCAAAAGAGTTCGACTAATAAAATTAAGAATAACTAAATATTATTGAAAAAAACTAAAAAATAGACCTACAATTTTTTTAAAGCCTATAATAGTTTCGATATCTTTACTTAATGACTTTTGAATTAGTGAATCAGACATGGTCAGCCCCATGCCCGAAACGACCACCTAATGAGTAAACACCAACTCAAGTGATCGAGAGCTCTTCATGCTATCTTTAGAGATATTGGCGTATGCAGCTTTTTATTCAATTTATTTTTTCTACTTATTATTTAGATCATGTTCTCCATAACTTATTCTTTTACTTATTACATATTCTTATTGGAATCATATCAGACTAGATCAGATATGAAATAGCTTTAAATATAACTACATCCAGATCAGATCATAATTTATTTCAATCAAATGAGAACCAATCAAATCACGTGAAGAGAACATGGTCTTATTCTTATTAAAATCAGATCAGACTAGATGTCTAAATCCAATCAGATCAAATTAGATCAGATCAGATCCAGATCCAATCAGATCCAATCCAATCTGACCAGATCAGATTAGGTCTAATGAAATCAAATCTAAACAAAATTATTATTATTATTATTATTATTATTATTATTATTACTATTACTATTATTACGATTAGTAATATAACTATTATTAGTATGATTATAATTATTATTACTATTGTTGTTATTATTATTATTATTATTATTACTATTGCTATTACTATTCTTATTATTATGAGTATAATTATTATTACTATTTTTTTTATTACTATTACTATAATTATTATTACATTTATTATTATTATTACAATAATTATTTATATGATTATTATATTTTAATTATTATTATTATTATTATGGCTATAATTTTTATTACTATTGTTATTATAATTATTACTAGTATTATTATTACTATTACTATTAATACTATTATTATTATTACTATGCTACACTTACACCAAAAAATTGTACCCCATTTGTACACCGCAGTTCTACACAAACATTTTGATGGTTTACACCGACACAAATGTTGATGCGTTAACAAAAATTTACACGGACACAAAGTGTTGGTGCGTTAACAAAAACTAGTTTTACACCAACACTAAATGTCGGTGTAAACCTGCGGTGTACAAATATGGTACAAAAGCTTGGAATACAAATACCTTTATCCTTTTACTTATTTTTTTCTCCCTCTTTTCTGGGTCTCCTCTTTTCAAGTTCAAAAAAATCCACTCTTCTGATCTCTCTCCCTCTTTTCTTTATTCCACCTCATTTCAATTATTCCTTCCACTTACTCTTTTGTCTCATAAGTTTTTTTCTAAGATTCTCTCTCTTAAAGTTGCTTTAAGAGCTTAAGCTACGACATTTGACAATAGGTAAACGGAAGTGTTAGTCACTTAGAGCACTATCTCTTTTTAGGGAGTATTACCTCCGTACCAAAGTATTTGTCTATTTTTAATTTTTTTCAGTCAACCGTTTTTAATATTTGACATATAATGAAATTAAATATATTTTGTATAATTATATAAGATGATATTTTGAAAATATTATATATAAGAAATCTAATAAAACTATTTTTGTATCGATATCTAATATCATTTTTATTTAATTAAATGATCCTATTTTTGTGTATAATAAAATTATTTTTGTATCGATATCTAATATCATTTTTATTTTATCCATCTGATAGCGTTTTAGGAACTCACTATTTACACTCATTCCAATTCAACAATCCAACTCTACCATCTAAATTTTGCCACAGTTTGATTTTTTCGATCAAACTGTAGCATCCTTTAAACACAAATTAAATATAGTTTAAAATAATAAAATATTATAAAAATTTGATATTTCAAAACTACATTTTAAAAGAAACTCAATTTTACTAAATTTACATTGTAACTAAATATACTTTTTCCATAATTCAGGGTCAAAGGGTGCCACAGTTTAACCAAAAAAATCAAACTCTTGTAATCTTTTAAGGACAGAGAGAGTAAAATTTTTAAATTTCACCCATCATTTTTTGAGCTCTCTAAATTGATATTTTAAAATACTCTCTCCGTCTCAAATGTTAGCCACATTACCCAAAATGAAACAAAATTTTGAGTTTTTTCAGTTCATTTTACTTAAAAATTGGTATAGAAATAAAAATAAAATTTATAATTTAAAAACTATGTCAAACGTTTTTCAAAACAAGATGTGATAAAAATATTTTGATTTATCAAATAATCAACGACAACGTACAAAAAAATTTTAATTTTTGAATAAGGAGCTATAACATTCTTTTTGGGACGCAGAAAGTATAAATTACATTCATCATTTTTCTTGAACTTTAAATTAATATTTTTGAATAACAATTTACACCCATCATTTTATTGAGCTCCACCAAAGGGAAACCCTACACCTAGGGGTGGGCAAACGGGTCAAGGACTGGGAGTCGGAACTGAACCGGCAGGTTCGGTCCATGTTAGGGGCAGGTCCTCTTTTCAAAAATTTATAACGGCCTGGGTCGGTCCGGTCCTTATAGATTTTAGGATCGGTCCGGTTCCCCATTTTGAATTTGTATTGGACTCGGACCAAACCATTTTTTGATACTTCAGTATTATGTTTAGTAAATACATCAGGCTTAGCCTTACGACCGAGTTACCCCCGTTCAGTCTTTCGCAGTAGTCAGAGAGTCGGAAGTCACCAAACAGTTTGTTGTTGTTGAATGATCATGAGGTGTACATTTTACTCTCATGCTCCTCTTTGTTATTGTTTTGTCTTCATTTAGGCTTTTTTTTTGTGTTGGATGACTTAAAATTGACAATGGGGATTAGGGGTGGACACGGGCCGGTCCGAGCCAAGATTCATATAAACCGGACTCGACTTGTTTTTACTAAAATGGTCCGAGCCGGAACGGTTTTCAAAATCTTAAAATTGAAACCGGACCTAACCCGGCTTATTTGAAACTGGCCGATTCCACAGGTCAACGGGTCCGAACCTATCATGATATTAGATTAAAAAAATAAAGTGATAATAAATTAATAATACATACATTGTCATTCACCATTGGTCCACAACAATGTAGTATCGTTTTTAACAATGATTTTAAATTCGGACCGGAGGTCGACTGGCGTAAGAAAGGGTCCCGGGTCAATCCTGGTTTTTCCAGGTCAACACAGTTTTTCTGAGTTTTTCTGGGTTTTGGGGGTTTGGACCGGATCGGTTGTTGTCCGGGTTGCGGTTCGACGTTTGGAACCACCCGGTCCAGTCCGGGTTTAATAACACTCCTTTAAGATAAGAGTAATTTATCTAAATAGGACTAAAACATAATGACTTTCCACCATATGTTTTTATTTTCGAATGTAGGACCTTTGGTCATTATTCTTTAGTCATTATTCAAGTAATGTCTATCATTGCTGGGCATTATTCCTTCCACGAAGACATTATTAAGTCCTATTTAGGGAATAAAAAAGTTTAAGTCCTAAATTAATAAAGTCATTATGTTTTAGTCCTATTTAGTATTTAGTGCAAATTTCATTTAGATAAAATCAAAATGCTTCTTTCCGAAAGGATGAGCATTTTAATTTAGCTCCTCCTCAGTACTGTTCCAGGGCCACGACTTCGGACTTCGGGGGGGACCCCCAAAAAATGGGAATCATCCTCTTTTTTCGGGACGTGGTTCCGTGGACATTGCCTTTTCCCACCGGTGGGCCCATGCTAAAACTTTAGAGAGTCTATAAGAGGGAATAATTTAGAAAATACCCCGTACACAAACAAAGGGTGGGGATCAGAATAATGCCAGTCCAGGAACTCAACGGCGGAGGAGCTGACGCGGAGGCGGCGGCGGCGGTGTGGCGGCAGATCAGAGAAGAGGCGAAGCGGGACGCCGAATCGGAGCCGGTGCTCGCCAGCCACCTACACTCCACCATCATATCTCATTCCTCCTTGTTCCGCTCCCTCTCTTTTCATCTCAGCAACAAGCTCTCCTCCTCCACTCTCCCCTCCGCCCTCCTCTGCCACCTCTTCCTCGACACCTTTTCCTCCCCCGCCGGCCCGTCCCTCCGCGCCGCCACCGCTGCCGACCTCTGCGCCGCCCGTTTCCGCGACCCCGCTTGCACTTCCTTCTCCCACTGCCTTTTGAACTACAAGGGCTTCTTGGCCATCCAAGCCCACAGGTTGGCACACGACCTGTGGCTGCAGGGCAGGAAGCCAATTGCCCTGTCCCTGCAGTCCAGGACGGCGGACGTGTTCGCGGTGGACATACACCCGGCGGCAAGGATAGGGAGGGGGATGTTACTGGACCATGCCACCGGAGTGGTGATCGGAGAGACGGCAACCGTCGGGAACAATGTTTCCATGCTGCACAACGTCACGTTGGGCGGGACAGGGAAGCTCTGCGGCGGCGGAGGTTGCGGGGACAGGCACCCGAAAATCGGGGATGGAGTCTTGATTGGGGCGGGGGCCACCATATTGGGGAACGTGGAGATTGGTGAGGGGGCGAAGATCGGCGCCGGATCGGTGGTGCTCATCGATGTGCCGCCGTGGACCACGGCGGTCGGGAGTCCTGCTAGGGTATTGCGCGGGAAGGAACAGCCACATGTTCATGAAGATCATGTTCCTCTCGAGTTCATGGCATAGTTTTTAGAGCACAGATGGTAAAGACATGTATATGCACTACTGGTTTACTCTCCCCCTCGGGTTTATAAAAAATAAAAGAGTAAATTTCATAAAAGTATCCGTTATAGATCATTTTATATATTTAGTTCTTACATATCAAATATTAATAATTTAGTCCCCAATTATTATATATTCTTTTCCATACAAATAGTCCACAGTTAACATGCATTTCCATTAAGAAACATGGATAAATTATATATTCACATCACTACTACAGAATACACTTTACACAGCGGATAAATAAGGGTTTTCACATCGCAAAAGAACCGCTGTCTATGCCACCGATGGGAAAGATCTCACGTTTAGACATCGGATATTCATCCACTGTGTAAAGTTTACACAGCGGATAAATTATCCGCTGTGTAAAGTTTACACAGCGGATAAATATCCGATGTCTAAACGTGAGATCTTTCCCATCGGTGGCATAAACCGTGGTTCTTTTGCGATGTGAAAACCCGTATTTATCCGCTGTATAAAGCATATTTTTTTTTAATAATTTGTAAAATAATTTTAGAGTAAATTCCATAATTAGTCCTTTATAACCGGGGGTTTCCATATTTAATCCTCTATTATCAAATATTATCATATCCCTGTAGTCCTTATTTTAAGGGTACCTTTCCACAAATGGTCCTTTTTTTGATCTTCTGCCGTGTTGGTATTAATTTAAAGACTAAAAGTATAATTTGACGTCAACATTATGTGTAGTGACGTGTTCTGATATTGGTTAAACGGATAATACAAAAATAATGACTATGATTGTGGGCTACGATTCTGACGAAAGATCACATTTGTAGACGATAGTTGTCGTAAAAAGCAACTGTAATTCACAAACGACACAAACGGAACAGCCTTTGTAATTGTGTATGACAAAAAAGATATATTATCATTATGAAATTATACTTTTAGCCCTCAAATTAACACCAACATGATAGAAGATCAAAAAAAGGACTATTTGAGGAAAGGTACCCATAAAAGAAGGACCACTTGGGTATATTTAATAATAGAGGACTAAATAGGAAAATCCCCCTGTTATAAAGGACCAATTATAGAATTTACTCATAATTTTATATATATATATATATATATATATATATATATAAGTTTATTTATTTATTTATATATAGGCACAAACATACACATAAAAAAATAAGTTTTATTAAAATAAGACAAAGAAAAAAAATACAAGAAGGGAGGACCAAACCAAAGCCCTTCGGAAAGACAACGATCGAAATACATTATGTAGATAATCTAGAGTTCTTAGCCACCCAACACCTTAAATATTACACAGTACAAAAAATTAAACTAAGAATACTTAACCAAAGTGTCAACTTCAATTTGCAGCATTCGTAAGTGTAGACCATAGTTTTCAGAACCGGACCGGTGACCGAACCGGTCTCGGTACTGGTTCACTAGTTTACTGGTCGAACCAGTGGTTCAACTGGTCGAACCGGTAGTTTAAACATTTTTTAAAATTATATATATATATATATATATATATATATATATATATATATACACACACACACTCTCTCTCTCTTATTTATAAATACTTAGAGTACATAATGTATAACATTTGACCAAATCTATATTAATTTACTTCAATTATGTCACTAAGTTTAACAATAAAATTTACATATTTAAAAAACAATATTAAATATTTTATAAACAAAGAGTTGATTTTATTATTTTTCAAACAAATTATCTAATATTAAAAACACTGAAATGAAATCTTTGCATAATATTTGTAATTGTATCAATTATATCAATAATTCTGAATTTAAATCATAGCAATAATATTATATTTTTTAAAGTTCTTAAAATGAAAAGAAATCTTTAAACTTTTTGTTAATAATGTAATATTAAAGATTATTAAAGTGAATTTTTAACACAAAGACACTTTAGCTGAGATGGTTAGGGGTTTAACTTTAGTAGCATGAGGTCTTGGGTTCGAACCCATGTGTGGTGAGATTTTTTGACGAAAAAATTTCAAAAAAAAAAAAAACTGGTTCGGACGGAGAACCGGCCGGTTTTCCCCGGTTCACACCGGTTCATAGCGGTTCAAAGCAAGTTACGGTCCAAGGTGCCGGACCGGACCGGTTGGACCACCGGTTCGCCGGTTCACGGTCCGAACCGGCCGGTCCGGTCCGGTTTTTAAAACTATGGTGTAGACCCCTGGCCATATCTTAAGATATCCAGACCTACTAATGAACATCATTTCCAAAGACCTATGGGAGCTGTATACAACCTCAAACTTGCGTGCATAACATTAACCCTCCTTTATAAAAGAATTGACAGTCTTAGTTTCATAAATGAAACCAAGTCTTCACAGCATTAACCTGCTCAAAATATAGGGATCCAACAAAGCAAGAGGAGCAAAATTAACTTCAAGTTTTTGTAAACTAATAATAAACATTCTAGCCATTTAACATTACTGCATATTAAGAGTACAATAGATGTGTGTTCTTTCTTTGAATGCCGGAGTAGTGAACAACATCTGATTTGATGAGAAACACCAACCCAAAAACCTATAAGAGATCCTGACTTGACAGCTTAGGAACAATGTGTATGTTCATATCCAAAATAGAATTACTAAACCTAAAATGGCAATCCCAAATCAATTCCATTCCAATGGTCGTACCCAAAATGGAGTTACTAAACCTGAAATTGTAATCCTAAACCAATTTCTTTCTTCCAATAGATAAACTCAAGAAATACATTTTGGATAAGATAAGTATGAATTCTCTTAGTGAAGGGAGAAGGGTAAACCATTAAGTCTAGATAATTTGCTCAAGACAACCTGCAAAATAAATATGTATCAAGATGCATCGTCAAAAGAATGTGAGTTGAGCAATCTGAAATCTTTTATACATTAATAGTAGCATGTATGCAATGTAAATTATTAAGACTATTTGTGTAACAAAAATGGAACCCAACCATTAAGTGTTATTCTCCACTGGAAGACAGTGATTGGGACCAGGTCCAAGCCATTTTGTACCAAGTACTCATAAAACAACTTCCAAAGGAGAATAAATCCACAAGCACCTGTAGTTAGATCCCAGGCCATCATACAAAACTGTTCTTTAGAGCTCCCCTGCTAAAATCTTTCAACTAAAGCCAAAACTTAGTAGACAGATCAACTACATTGAGCAGTAGTACAAAGCAGTAGCACCATTAAACAACCAACTTTAGTTTATCACAATACAGAAACAATAAAATAAAATAAATGATGGAGATGGGAGAGATGACGCTAAAGAAAACGATGTGTAAACAACAGTTTACAATTCTATGACTATCTGCAAATTGTGTTCCAATAAACAACAGTTTTCAAAAAAACGATGTGTATGCGCTAAAGAAAAAAAATATACCCGCTTACGATTTGGTATATTGAGCTGTCCGGTTTTCCAAACTTTACACAGCCAAGTTATTCGCTATGTAATTGAAATGGATAATGTATATTCTGTAGTATTGAACATTTATTTTGTTTATTCCCCTACCCAGAGGTAATTCTCCATAACATTTTGAGTTGGATAGGTATTAAATTCAACTCAAATTTGTAGTAAATTACCCAAAAGAAAAATTCCAGAAAATTTACTAAGTTTTCTAGTATATAATCCAGTAAATTAACTAACTCAAATTCAACTCAAAACGATGAACTCAATATATTTTTTATAAAATTAACTAACTCCAATTCAACTCAAAAAGATAAACTCAAAGTATTTTCATGTCTCTAAAATACTTCCTCCGTCCCACTATATTTGTCCACTTTCATTTTTGCACACCATCCAATACACTTCTTTAATCCATTTTATCTTGTAATTTGTATATTAAAAAATTATAGAAATTATATATTAATAATCTATATGTTAAGACAAATTAAACAAGATCACGCATGACTATATTTAGGCTTACACATTGAGAGAATTTGATGAGTCAAAGTGCTTAGATGAACAATTTCAAAAGTCAAAAGTGGACGAATATAGCAGGACGGAGGGAGTAGGTACTAAAAATTTCCAAAAAAATGTACTAAGTTCATAATTCAACTAAATTTTTAGGCATTTTAGTACCCAAATGGATTAACTCAGTACCCAGGATATTTTCTTATTCAATTCATAGTTCCAAGAAATTTTCCAATTACTCATTAGACAATTAAAAAATTGACGAGCTGCAATTCATAATACCTCGAACTAAAATCATTTTTGGATTCAATTGAGTCCAATTTCAAAATCAAATCCATACAAAACACTAACTTGCTAAAATTAAACTATTTGGAAAAGAAATCAAACCTGGATCGAGTCGGCTATTGATGCTTGCTTGACACAGGGAATAGCGCGGTAGTCGATCAATTAGGCAAGAAATCACAGCTCTGGTGATTGAATAGAGAGTAGGCAATCGATTTGAAAGTAGTCCGCAGCAGAGAATGGATGTTGCTCAAGGTTTGGAGAGAGGAATCGGCTTGGAGTAATATGGCGCAGCAGAGAATGGATGTCACTGAAGGTTTAGAGAGAGGAATCGCCGAATCGGCTTGGAGTAATATAGCGCAAGTCTGATCTAAACATACACATCGCATATCTAAAACAACGCCGTGTAAGACTTTAAAAAAATTGGATAGACTTTAAAAAAATTGGAATCGGGCTAGTCCCGTTTTCTTAAGTTTAGACAGTCCTTTTAAATTATTCGGTGTGTAAGATGGGATGTATAATGTATATTCTGTAGTAATGCATTCATCTCTCTTCAATTAAGCTTCCTCCATCCTCTCGTACTTAATCCTAGATCTGTCGCTGAATTTAACTCTAAACCCAAAACCAAAACGATCACTCCTCTCTCAATTGTTCATTTTCCTGTTGGAATTCAAAATCGAAACCAATAACTTCATGGATGAATTTATGAGTTAGTGTCAAGAAATTACAAAGAAAAAAGACATCAAATCGAAACCAGTAACTTCATGGTCGCCGCCGCCGGACTCCGGCCGCCACCGCCGGTTCCGCTGCCACTGCCAATCGTCGCTGGTCGTCGCCGCCGGACTCCGGTGAGCTTTGCTTTATTTTCAGGTGAGCTTTGCATTGTTCATTGGTGAGCTTTGTAGTGTAGTGTGGTGAGCTTTGTGTCATCTGACCGAAGCATGTCATCTCACCGTAAGGTATCATCTCACTAGAGTTAATCCTATATGTGTGTGTGTGTATGTGTATATATATATATATACACACACACATTTATTATTATATATGGAAATGATAGTATATTATACAAAAATAATATTTTACTTTAATATCGACAATAATTTGCCCATTGTTTATGCATCAATATATGGAAATATTGTGTTACATATTTTATTTTATTTGAGTTTGTAATAATCTATGTCAAATATAAAACATGTTTATTTTTTTGACATTTAGTATCAAATTGATTGATATTTTTATTCATCACTTTGAAGATTTTTAATTTTGTATACGAATTATTAATCACAATATGAGTTTTTATTTACGGACACTTATATTATTAACTAAACATTATTATTAAACACAGTCTATTATAAATATATATGGATACTAAAGAAATATTGATCATTCGTTTAGTTTATATAATGGTACTCGGTTGACCAATCATTAAATACGAGAAAAGATATTATCTAGAAGACACATGAGTGAAGAAGTTAATATTCTAAGACCATCATTGAATTGACATTAGTTGATGCAAGAATTCCATTCAAGTTTTAAAAAAGACAATTCTATGTGGTTACTTCATATACCAATAACGATTAAATAAGAGAGTGAAGGCAAATATCTAAATACGTAAAATTATTATTACGAAAACCACTATTTAATCAAGGACAATTATATATTGCGATTTCAAGAATAACGTATTGTAATGGCTTGGTGATTCTCATATACAACGTACAAAATGTTCACCAAATTGTACCAATAATATAGTTGTAAAGAATTTTTTCCAAAATGTAATTCATTTGATACTTGTGCTTTAAAATAATGAAAAATTTTAAATTTCATTATATGATCTATTTCTTTTCTTCAATAATGACACAAATATATTTTTTCATACTGTGAATATAAGTCGTGCAACGCAAAGGTATGCATCAACATTCTTAACGTTCATTAATAGAATTACATTTTGTCATTACATTTTATTAAGGTGTGATATTAGTACATTCTTAACGTTCATTAATAGAATGTGAGACGAACTATATCTTCTCCATCTTTATTACAAAATGTAAATGGACCATTCAAGTTATTTTTACAAAATTGACAAGTTAACTTTTGTCAATTTGTACTGAAGAACATTCAGTGCAGCGTGCTGGTGAAGCGGACATAATTAAACCCTTTGTGCATCAAATTTTGTATCGCAAAGGTATGTATCGACATTTTGTGCTAGTGTGATGCTAGTGTGATGAATTACATTGACAAAAAATGTTAGTGTATTTAATTAAATTAATATTTTCTATTAGTGTAAATCATTAAAATGTCGGTACATTTCTTTGACATGCAAGTAGATTTTGCTTAAAGCACGCATCAATAACCCCATCCCTCAGGCGAAACGAAGAAGTCTAGCTTCAAACATGGCAGAGAGTATACTACTGCATCTCCTAGCTCTCACACTCTACTGTACAGTTCCGTCCGCATTTTCTCAAAACAACTGGTCCCCCTCCGAGTGGCGTCCGGCCAGCGCCACCTACTACGCGCCGGCGAATCCCAGCGACGCTGTGGGCGGGGCCTGCGGATACGGGGATCTGGAGAAAGGCGGCTACGGCAAGGCCACCGCCGGACTGAGCACGGTTCTGTTCGAGAGGGGCCAGATCTGCGGCGCCTGCTACGAGGTGAAGTGCGCCGATGACCTCCGGTGGTGCATCCCGGGGACTTCCGTCATCGTTACCGCTACCAATTTCTGCCCTCCCAACTATAGCTTCGACCCTGACGCCGGCGGCCACTGCAATCCTCCCAAGGCCCATTTTGTCCTTCCCATTGAAGCCTTTGGGAAAATCGCTCTCTGGAAAGCTTCCAATATTCCCATCAAGTACCGGAGGTTCGTTAACATTGGGATCTTTTTAGCACCTTATTGTACCTACATTAACCGTAGTAGTGTTAGAATATAAATAAATGTTCCTGGGCCACAACCACAAGCTTTAGTTTTTGGTTGACTTGGTTCCTTACATGGTATCAGACCCTCGTTGACTAAGAGGTCACGGGTTCGAAACTCAGCGCCACCCAGTTTAAAAAAAATTAAGGTCGTGTAAGGCTCGAAAAAGACTACGCCTGCACGTGAGGGGGCGTGTTGGAATATAAATAACTGTTCCTGGGCCACAACCACAAGCTTGAGCTTTTGATTGAGTTGGTTCCTTGACATGTAGTCTGTGCAAAGTTTGGGGTCATGGTTGGAGTCGCCCTTTGGGGTTACAGTTGCTTTATTGATAAATTTGTGGTTACAGAATGAGGTGCAGAAGGGAAGGAGGGGTGAGATTCACAGTGAATGGCGCAGGGATATTCATTTCTGTGCTGGTCCGGAACGTTGGAGGCGCGGGGGACATAGTGGAGGTGAAAGTGAAGGGTTCTAGAACAGGGTGGCTTCAGATGGGTAGGAATTGGGGGCAAAATTGGCATGTCAACACAAACTTGAGGAACCAACCTCTCTCGTTCGAGATCACCAGTAGTGATCGCGTCACCCTCACATCTTACAATGTTGCTCCCAAGAACTGGAACTTTGAGCAGACATTTGAAGGCAAACAGTTTGATGCTTAGAAGAAACCAAAAGGGTTTGCATCTGTTGATGGACTTGCAAAGCTGAAATGTTTTTTGATGGTGGTAGTTTGTACACATTTGCAGTTACTTCTGGTATATCTTTCTTTAGCCTCCTTGTTTTTAGTGGTATTTTCTCCTGTTCAAGTAGTAGAATTAGTGAATTACTAATGTTGATGGCTTGATGCTAATCAACCAATTTGTTCATAGTGAGAGAGGACAAATGCAGAAATAGAACTAACTAACCATAGAAACAGAGGCTTTAAAGTCAGAATCTATTTCAGATTCAAACAAGAAAACCATTTTGGGCTGCAGAGTATTTCTGACCATATATGATACTACACAACTTAAAACCAAGGAAAGAAAATGGCATTACAGTTCATCACCAACAATTGAACAATGTTGTACACTCTCCATCCAATGCCCTAAACCACACCAGAGATTAACAAGGGGAAGTGAGATCCCAATTCCCAAGCACATTACTCATTCGCTATAACGTGTAAACTATCGTCCCAAAACTTTGCTATTGAATTGATCAAATCCGGGAGGAGCACCGGGAGATGAATGAATAAAAGGAATCAAAGACACAACAACCATCCAAACCATCATATCAGCTTCTGGTTAGATTCTAGAACCAATCCATTTAGCATGATTTGAACGGCCGCGTCATAGACAATCCCATTGTAATGCATACCATCCTCCGTGCACCGGGCCCCACAGCGATCACTCAGACCATGAATATCCAACAAGAAAAATGGCCCGCCGTATTGCAACAGCAGCTTACTCCTATACACCTCATCACAGTATGCTTGCGATTGAGCATCGCCCATCTTCTCCCTCTTTTCTTCTGTGTTCAGCTTCGCATTCACCAGCTTGGGCAAACCGACCCAAAACAGACGGGGCGACCTCCCATTGCCCGAAACAGATCCCGGGTAAACGGGCAATGACATCACCAGTGAATCCCTGAGAAGCTTGAGGGAGACGCCGTAGTCTGATGCGTCATTCACGTGTAGCATGTCCCATAGCCCAGACCCCATCACCAGCAAGTCAGGGAAATTCTTGTTATCCTTCAAACCAAACACCAGATTGGTCAAGTTGCTCACATATGGCGCCCATCTGTAATCAAGATTCATCCCAATCTTATCCAACCCGATTGTGTAATCGCTGTGCCTCTTGAACAGATCCCCTCTGATCAATTCCGTCTCATTTGACCCCAGCAACAATTCCAGCAGCGAAACCACCAGCAACCTCGCCTGTGAATCCCCGGCGACAACGACCCACGACCCGTTCAGCAAATCCGAGACGTCTTGTCTTCTCAATTTCTGGAATTCGCACCGATCCGCAAGCCCGGACTTTGCCCAATCCCAAGATTCGTTGCTGAAAGCGACTTGATGGAGGGAAGAAATGCAAGAACGGGGATTGATTGATTCTGAAGATGAGTGGGGAGGAGGGAAACCCGGGGAGGGAAGGAAAGAGGGGATCGACGGGAAGTAAGGGGTCAGGTGAACGCCGACGGAGAGGGTGATGAAGAGGGCGCAGCTGAAGAAGAGCATCTTGTTGCGGCTCAAATGCCAGCCGGCCATACCCAGTGGAACGAAGAGGACCACGCAGGCCGCCATTATTCCAATTTGGACTGCTCCGAACATGATATGGTTTTCCTCGTTGAGAATTTTAGCGGGTTTTTGGGTATCCTGCGAGCATTTCGACTGGTGTCTCCGGATCTGGGTCGGGGGTCATAAACATCGGGTTTTTGGATTCATGATTATACGGATTACGGAGTACTCCGTGAGAGAGAGTACGGGCATCAAGAAATCGGTGTGAATCGGTGGCGATGATGAGTAAGATTAGTGGTTGTTTGCTTTTACTTGGTCCGTCCCTAAGTGTTTGTTTTGACTTTTGGAACTGTTCATCTAAGCACTTTGACTCATCAAATTCTCTCAATGTGTAAGCCTAAAAATAGTCATGTGTGATCTTGTTTGATTCGTCTTAACATATAGATGATTAATATATAATTTTTATAATTTTTTAATATACAAATTACTCCGTACAAGATAAAATGGATTAAAGAAGTGCATTGGATGATGTGCAAAAATGAAAATAGACAAATATTCAAGAACGGAGGGAGTAAGAAATTAGCTTCACTCTATTTGGCATTTCAATTTATACTTTTCTCTACTATTATTTTGTATATAAAATATCGTTTCGGAGAAATACTTCTGAAATGTTTTTGCTTTCAGCTTTTGAGAAAATTACTTTATACACAAGTTAATCTCTCTCAAACACTCTTTAAGTTCGTGTTTGGAAAATTACTTTTCGAATAGCTTTTGACATGTTTGATTGACTTTGGCTTTTTTGACTGAGCAGACAACCAAAATCATTGTTTGGCTAATGACTTTTTCACTTGGCATTTTGATCCGAAAAGTTAAAATATGAAATGTCAAAGGGAGTAGCTTTTCGACTTGACTATTAGGAAAATTAAATTTTTTAAAGTTATTTTTTTTGAAAGATACTACGTATTTAATAATATATGTAAAAACTAAAAATAAAAGTTAAAAAAATTAAATACTGAAAAAAATAAAAATTAAAAATTAAAAATTTCATAAAACTGAAATGAGAAAATAAAAAGTAAAAATCATTAAAAAGTTGTATATTAATAATTTCTTATGAATTATGGTGCTATAAACGTGTAAAGGGGATGGGAGGGCTAGATATGTATTTTCTATTTCTTAATTTTTTTTTTGCCGTTAAAAAAAAATGGTGCTATATTGGATGATTTCTATAAAATTTAATACTCCATATAGTAAAGATTTAATTTTTACATTTAAAAAAATGAAAAATAAATATCATGTGTGTGTGTACGCCTCCGTTCCACTAAAAAGTTCTCATTTTGATGTATTTTTGGTCAAACAGTTACACGCTTTGACCATAAATTAAATATAATCTAAATAAAGAAATGCTAAAAAAAAATTGGGATACCAAAACTATATCCTAAGTTGAGTCCAATTATATTAAATTTATTTTATAATTCAATATACCTTTCTCACAATTTGTAGTCGAAGCGTTTAATATTTAACTAAATACTATTCAAAATGGGAACTTTTTTGTGGGATGGAGGGAGTATAAATATATATACCAAAAGTTTCAAACAGATAAATTTACCAAAATTTTTAACGATCAGCCAATTCATCAAGCCGGTCAAACCAGCTGAATGAAACAATCATTCACAACAGTTAACACGAAGTGACAACAGATGTCAGCCAACATCCAAACAAGGCCAAAAACAAAGGAAGCCTTATTTATCAAAAATTCTACTGAGTTTGTGATAAAAAACTTCAAGGTCTCGTTATTTTTGAAACAATATTTGAAAGTATCTTAAAATATGTGAAAACTAACTTCGGAGGGATTTTCTATCCATCATCTGTCATCTTCATTGTGAAGATGACAGAGGGATAGATGGAAAGTTCCTATAAAATTAGTTTTCACATAATTTAAGGTATCTCGAACTATCTAATCATCCTATTCTTAAAAGCAGAGGAATTATGCCCCATGCTTTTTCCCTTACAAACGTTATCATTTATGGACCAGCGATTTTGATCTACATTTTTAATCTACGGTAATTATAATTAAGCAAAATGCAAATATGGTTTTATTTCATTCTATAAAAGAAAAATATCTTATAAGATTCATGTGTAATTTAATGCGGTGTATATAAATAATATGGTTTTTAAAAGGAAAGCATTGTGTATATAAATGATACAGTTTTAACTATTTAAAAAAGAAATTAACTTTATAAAATCCGTACATACTTAATGCCCGAAAATTGAAGGGGATTTTTTACGCATGAAAAAACATATTTAACATATTAAGAAAAGAAAAAATTACCAAAAAAAGAAATCATAGAATTTTGGAAGTTATTAGCATGTTAAACGAAAAGGACCCTTTTCGAATCATTTTTTATTTGTCTGATATGTCGAGTAGACCTGGCAAACTGATCGGTCAGGTCGGATTCGGGTTTGGTCACCTTGAGTTCGGGTAACTTCGGGTTCGAATAAGTTCGGATTCAGGGTGATAATTACATGTTCATGACCCAGTGTCATCGAGTTCAGGTTGACCCAACGGGTTATGAGTTTCATTAATTTTTTTTTGAAATTTTAAATAATTTCTATGACTTAGTGTTAATATTATGAATAAAAAAATTAAATATGTAGAAATTTTTAAAAAATGTAAGATAATTATGTGACATCATTAAAATTTGTTATGATGGTATAAATCTATACACAAAAAATGAGTAGTAAGCAAAGAAATATAATTATAATCTTATTTTTATTACACTATATTTCATATTAAAATGTATGATTCTAAAAAAAATTTTAGATTAGCGGGTCGGTCTGGTCGGGTTCGGGTTCGGTCAGTAAAACCATTGTTAAAACCCAGTATTTTTGGGTCACATCTCGGGTCAAAAACAGGTCGGGTCATTTTTTGCCAGGTCTATTGTTGAGTATTGGGTGATGTTAAAAAAATTAACTTCTTGAAACTTTTTTTTCTTTATTATACGCGGAAAATAAAAAATATTGCAAGATTTCTAAAACTGTGAGTATTTTTGTGCTTAATAATGAAAGTTTTAAAATTTTAATCTTATGTATTTTATTTGCACCATGTTAATTGCCTACGCATTAAAGTTATTAATAAAATTCAAGCATTCCTCCTTTTTTAAATTTTTCCTCTTTTTATTTCTATGCTTTAAAAGGTTATGAAATCGGCGTTTCAAGAAAAATAAATATAACCTCCTTTGATTTTTAATAAAAATAATAATATCAAAATTCAATCATTCATTCTTTTTAATACTATTTTTAGAACACTCGCCATTTTAATATCTAAGACCGTATTTAAGAAGTCACTTGGGCGGGAAAACGATGAGTACATGTTTCCCCTTCTTTTCAGAATAGGAAGATGTGGTGGAAATAATTTATGTATTATACACTTGAAAAACATTATATGTCATTATATGATGTATTTATTTACTTTTTTAATAATAATAATACAAATTTATAACATTAATACGAACCGTGCAACGCACAGGGTGTGATACTAGTACTATATTTAAAATGAGGGAAATTCTTCATTGGATTTTCTCGCCTAAAGATTTTAGTAACGAAATGTAAGTGATAAAGCTTGAGATAGTAAGTGCCATGTATAAGATAATTTAATAATTATTTACTCTCTCAGTTTTCTTTTATAGTTATTATTAATTGTTAGAGTAATTATTATGGCACCGTGCATGTAATAATAATAATAAACGTAATAATAATAATAGAAAAGGTAACATGTAAAATTTTAATAATAATATGGTAATAATAATAATAATAATAAACGTAATAATAATTATTGGTACCATGTATAATAAAAAAAGGTAACATGTAAAACTTTAATTGTTAATTATTAATAAGTTAATTTCAGACCTTATAATTTTGGTACCATGTAATAAAAAAGGTAACATGTGAAACTTTAATAACTCCCTTCGTCCGGAAATAAAGTTTACGTTTCTAATTTTTCTCTGTCCGGAAATAAAATTTACATTTCTAATTTCAATTCACACTCTTCCAAAAATACCCTTCTATATCTTCCTTTCTTTCTTTCTCTTCTTTTTTTCTCCTCTCTTTCTTTTCTTTTTTTTCTCCTCTCTTCTCCGCGACTCTTCTCTGATCTTCTTATCCGTATTCTTTCTTTATCCTCATTCTTTCTTCTCTTTTGTTTCTCCTCCCAGCGCCTCTTTTTTTATTTTCTTCTTTTCACCTTTCTCTTTGTGTAGATCTAATTTCTTCTTCTTCTTCTTCTTCTTCTTCTTCATGCTCCTCCCTCTTTCTTCTAGATCTAAACAGATCTGCAATCACAGAGATGGGAGATGACAGCGATTAAAGTGCTAGCAGTGATGGGGACTGGCGGTGACAGAGTGCGGGCAACAGCTGCAGATGCGGCGGGGGGCTGTTCTTGCTGGAGCGTCAGGTGGTGTGCTGAAGCTGAATAATCTGGTCATGGTCGTGNTCTTCTTCTTCTTCTTCATGCTCCTCCCTCTTTCTTCTAGATCTAAACAGATCTGCAATCACAGAGATGGGAGATGACAGCGATTAAAGTGCTAGCAGTGATGGGGACTGGCGGTGACAGAGTGCGGGCAACAGCTGCAGATGCGGCGGGGGGCTGTTCTTGCTGGAGCGTCAGGTGGTGTGCTGAAGCTGAATAATCTGGTCATGGTCGTGGGGATTGGGTTGGTTCTGTTGGCCGCTGGCTCACCATCACCATCGATGTGGCTCTAGAAACTGCTGCTGTTCCAGCGGAGGAGGAGGCGGAGGATGGGGATCTTGAATTATCAACTGCTGCTGAAAATTGGAATAAGGAATGCCAGAAGAAGATGGGTGGTTGGGTTGTTATTCTCCACGAATCCACCGGCCGGAAATAGGAAAGGGCATTTTGGACTAATTCACTCCATAGTCAACCATCAATAAAAATGACTAAAAGTCAAAACGTAAACTTCTTTCCTTGACGAAGGGAGTATTAATCATTAGTAAGGTAATTTCATACCTTACAATTTTAGGTACCATGTATAATAAAAAGGTAACATATGAAAGAATGATAAGGGCACTGGAAATACCCGTGAAGGTAAGAAATGACTGCGACACTAGTTCGCTCCATATTAACATCATTGTTATTAAGATTAGTTATTTGATTTGCTCTAATATTGAGTAATTTGATCAAGATATTTATTATACCTGAGTATGGTTCAATTGGACAGACAAATACATATTGCATTTTTTGTAGGAAAATGAAGAAAAAAATCAAAAGATATATATGAAAATGCTCAAAGACTAGTGAAGGACAAGGAGGACTAGCAAATCATGATCCTACCAAGTACCAACCTGTCGAAAATATAACACGTAAAGACTGACGATATGACTCGAAAGAATTATTTACTTTCTTGAGTTGATGATTCTCACAATTCAAAAAAGTGGAAGACTTCATGATGGGAAATACTCTCTCCGTCCGGAAATATTCTTCCCATTTGACTTTTCTTGGTCAAAGTTTGTAAATTTTGACTATGATATGTGGAAACAATACATTGTATTACGATATAACTTTAATATGAATATATTCAATTTGAAATATAGTTTTCAAATATCAAATTTTTATAAAATATATCCATACATAAATAAAGATATTAGTGGTCAAAGTACAATCTTGAAGACCGTAAAAAGTCAAATGAGAAGAACATTTCCGGACGGAGAGAGTATTATTTGGCCCAGAAGTCTCAGTCTGAATTTCCCAATTAATATTGCTATAACTATCATCACCAAACATTGGCCACAAATTACTCCTCCTACCATAACTTTCCTCATAATCAACTCATTTTTCATAATTACATCCACCATTCACTCATTACTATAAATACCTCCACCCATCACTCCCTACCATAATTACTCCCACCATTCACTCTCCTACCATATGTATCTCCATAACTACTCCTTCATCTCTCACTATAAAAGAAACTCTTCACCTTCAGTATGGGGGACCAAGCTCGTAAAACTAATATACACTCTCGCATTATTTAGAAAACACTCTTTGTATTATTCATTCTTTATAAAGCTAAAACGCTCCATCAATGGTTGTAATGCCAAGATTATGTACTACCCCCGATATTGATAAAATCTCCCCGTTGGCTTGAACGGCCAGAAAAGGATCGTGATTTTCTCCCGATTTGGATTTCTACACTAAAATAGCTTGGAGATATTTTTGGTGATTGTTAGACTCGTTTATAATTTTGACACAATAAAAATGATAAAACCAGTCGAAACAATTAACACCATCAATTACATAGTTGTTCTCCTACTATGATTAAAACTTTCCCATGTAATCCCTATAAATAGGGATGTATCTTTCAATATTCAATAAGACCAATTATTATTAAATTAATTATATCAACTATCAACATAATATTTGATAAATGGACTAAATATCAAAACCTACAGGTATAGAAGACTATTTAGAGAATTACTCTTTATTATATTATGTTCCCAACAAATATGATAATAAGAGATTTAATATGAATAAAGACACAATTTTGAAAAATGAATAAAGATACAAATATGTTATTCAGAAATAGTAATTACGTTTAAGGACCACTTACAAAATAAATTGTAAGGATGACTTAAACAAATTTTTAAAAAAATTACATGAATAAGAAACAAAAGTCGCTTATTTTTTATTTGATTTAAATTCACTAAGAATAAAAGGATGAGTTGAAGAGAAGAAACTCAGAAAACAAATAGAGAGTATAACCTTTTTTATTCAACTTTACAAATGAATGGTTGCATTGACTAGCAGGGCAGGGTTGGAAAAACCGAAAACCGCAAACCGAACTGAAACCAACCAAAAACGAACTAGAAAAAAAATCGAACCGAAAAACCAAAACCCAATGTAAAAAAATCGAAACATTATTGTTTGATTTTCGTTTTGGTTTCTACTTTATCAAACCGAATCGAATAAATCGAACTTTTTTAGGTACTTCACTTTATTTATATGAGTATATGTGATATGTAAAAAATCATAGAAATATAAATGTAAATAGTTGACTAGTCGATTAAAGTTGTTTTTTAACTATTAATTAAACATTTTAAACCATATTATAAACTTTAAAAAACCTAAGAACATAAACATCAATAACAAATCTTAATACAGAATTATATTAACATTAAACATTGATAAGAGCAACTTACATATTTACATAAAAAACTTTGATGTTAAAATAAAAACGAAAGTATTATACCAAAAAATGTAAATTCTCTGTATATTTACATACTGATGGTGTAAATTACTTGACCGGTCAAACTATACTAGACCGGGTCTAGAATAGTTGGCTTGATTCAGTAAAGTAAAGGAAGTAAAAACACTCAAAATGACCGGTAGGACTTTAGGTGGAACACCTGTAGCCCGAATTATATTAAAATAGAGAATGCACGGTCACTTTTACAAGGGAGTCTAGAGAGAGTGAATTCAGATCCCCTTCCTCGAGGGTTACAAGTGGTATATATACTAAGCTAGGGGGG